CATACATTTCTCTGTGAAAGAGTACTTTTTTTCCAACTCTAGTCCAGTGCTCGGAACATTTTGAAAACTTTTAAATTCTAACTGCATATTTTACTCAACAAATTGGAGTGTAAATAAACATACAAATATATCAAAAATTCAAGATTCAAGATTCAAAGTGTTTATTGTCATATGCACAGATGAAAACATGTTTTCCCTGAACAATGAAATTCTTACTTTGTCGTCCACTTTGAAAGCCAAGAAATAACCATATTAACAAAAGAAACGAATCATCACCGAAAGGACACAAACAATGTTGATTAGATAAAAGAGGAAACTAAACTAAGGATAATAACATCGGAAGGGAACAATAAAGAAAGGAACTGTACAATCTGTTTTAAAGTGTAATGTGCAAATGTGTAACAGGTAGTCTGAAATGTGCACATGTGCAGTAATAGTCAGAAGAATGTCATGTTCAGTCATTTAAAAGTCTGATGGCGCTTGGGAAAAAATGAGTTCTTGTATCTGGAGGTTCGTGGGTTGGGTCTTTGATGATTGAGGCTGCTCTCCTGTGAACCCTGCAGTGGTAGATGCTCTGCAGAGAGGGCTGTGAAGTTCACTCTTTTCTCCAGTTTCCAGGAGAAACTGGAGGGGTTCTACTCCACCTCTGAGCCCGAACTAATGAGGTAAGGCGTGAAACACATCACGGACTACAAAACCCCCACCAACATCATCGGCTCCACAGACAATCTCCCAGAAGTTCTCAACACCTTTTACTCCCGCTTTGAAGCCTCCAGCACAACAGGGGACACACACACACACACACACACACTCACTCAACCAGGAAACCCATCCCTGCCACCACCACCAACTGTCTTATCAAGCCAGGTACAGAGAGCTCTGAGGCAGATCAACCCCCCGCAAAGCAGCAGGACCAGACAATATCCCAGGGCGGGCCCTCAGAGCTTGTGCTAACGAGGTGACAGATGTTTGCCCCCCTCAGCCAGAGCATTGTCCCCACATGCTTCAAATCAACAAAAATTGTCCCCGTCCCCAAGAAGACCCAGCCCACATGTTTAAATGACTACAGGCCAGTAGCACTCACTCCAATCATTATGAAGTGCTTTGAGAGAGTACTGCTGGCCCACATTCAGGAGAGAATCCCGGCCACCCTGGACCCACTGCAGTATGCCTACAAGCACAACAGGTCAACATCAGACGCCATATCTGCTGCCCTCCAATACTCCTTCTCCCACCTGGAGGAAAAAGACTCGTACATCAGATCCTCTTCGTGGACTACAGCTCAGCCTTCAACAGTCATCCCACAAAAACTCATCAATAAACTGGACTCATTATAGGAATTCAACCCGCCCTCTGTGACTGGCTCCTAGACTTTTTGACYGGAAGGCCTCAGACAGTCAGGATTGGGAACAGGACCTCCTCCACAATCATCACAAACACCAGAACCCCACAGAGGTGAGTCCTAAGCCCAATCCTCTACACCCGTCTACACAYGACTGTGCTGCCTCCCAATGAGAACAGCAAAATCCTGAAGTTCGCTGATGACACTGCAGTKATAGGACGCATCACTGGGGAGGATGAAGCAGCTTACAGGAGGGAGGTAGCCGACCTGGTGTCTTGGTGTGAGGACAACAACATCACCCTCAACATYGACAAAACGAAGGAGCTGATAGTGGACATGAGGAAGGAAAGGAGGCCGCACCAGCCACTGCACATCGGAGACCTTGAGGTTGAGAGGGTGAGCAGCTTTAAATACCTGGGCGTCCCCCTCACTGAGAACCTGACCTGGACTAAGAACACAACACAGCTGGTCAAGAAGGCTCAACAGAGACTCTACTTCCTGAGGAGACTAAGGAAGTTTGGCATGTCAACAAGGATCCTCGGGAACTTTTACAACTGCACAGTAGAGAGCATCTTGACCAGCTGCATCACAGCCTGGTACAACAGTGCTACCATTATGGACCGGAAACGAAAAATGATGGACGTTTATATTCCAAATGGCTCCTCTATGAATATCACCCTTGCTGACCTATTTTCACTTACTATTTTTATAGATCAACATATGCATGTGATAGCTGGAAGCCTTTTTTCAATTCCCCTTTTCAAACAATAAAATTTAAGGGCACATTAACTATCAATATGAGGATAAAGTTGTATGTTTCTTACTATTATTAATTTTTTTTTACTGGTCTATAGCTTTGCAATGAGTACCTTAGAACCTGCTTTGTTTTACTTCCTACCTCTTTCCCATTTGCACATACAGGTTAGTGCTGTGCCAGTTCACTGCAGATCGGCGTTACGCCTGAGCAGCCCTGCAATTGCTGAAAAAACAAGAAGCCAAACGACCCCGTCTGTTACACCAGCTGATAAAAAACTTGGCCACCAAACTTTGTCCCAAACAGCTTGCTTAACCAATGAGGTAACTCCCGTCCTCAAGGCTTTTGAAGACGATGATACTCCTGATAGTGTCAAATCTTGCAGCATGGAGCCAGACTCGACATTAAATTCGGAGGAGAGTGACAACGAAGATGATGACGACCGTTGCTCGTCTTCCTCAACAACCTTGAGCAGCTTGCCGTCCCCTGAAATCTTCAGAAAAGAAAGTGGTGTGTCTTTCGGATTTTATAAAAATGTAAACAATAATAATGACCAAACATTTTATGAATTTGTCATCATTTTTTTGTCTTAACAGTGGAAACTACAAATTATTCTAACAAGAATGAGTTGCGGAGCGTAAATCTCACCATTAAAAATTCCACCTTGTTGGAATCTAGTCAAGCTGAAAACATCCACCTGCATCACCCACCTGATATTTCTATCATCATAGGTACTACTTAATAGAAAGACGCTTTTATCTTCGTTTTAATAGTTTGTGTATGTTAACAGAACAGAAACTACAGTTGTGCTTTTGAAAATAAGTAAGAATGATGTAATTTGATGTCACAGTGTTTGTATCTGCTTACATTTTGCTCAGGAGATGCTGCTATGAATCTTGCTAAAAAGAACGGTGAGATTAGGTGAGTCAACTTATAAAATAGCAGCTTCACTTTTTGACAAAAGCATTAATAAAGATAATTTTGACTGACTATTCGTTTTCTATATAAAGCCACCAGGAAATCCCAGAAAATAGGAGTAAAATACAAACCAACTCAATTGAATCAGGTAAAGATCTTATAGGACACAAACTGAATTAGCAATCGAATGTTACATTTTTGTTTTAATGCCCTTTTCTTTGTTTTTATCAAATGTAAAATTTAACAAATGTGTTTTTTTTATTCCAGAACTTATAAACCCTTCCCCCAAGAGGAAAACCCCACCAAAAGTAAGAAAACCTTTTGGGTTTATGTTGCCTTTGGTTTAAAAACTTAAAAGACACTCAAATAAATATTTTCTCCATAGCTCACCAAGAAAAAGCTTATTTCGTGTAAGAAGGTCTGGTTTAAAAGCCCCATCACTGAGATGTTCAAATCCTACCACATCCCACCCTCCCCATCAGCCACTCAGAGCACCAGAGAGTCCCCTGGCCAAATGAGACATGATCCAGTTGCATCTGAAATGGGTGAGATCAGCTCACAAAGTGCAACGTTACCTGTGGCAAGAAGCTCAGCCATGTTCTTTGACTTTGGCAGCGATAATGAACGAGATGCCTTCTTTCAGGGGATGAGAAAACGATGTGCCAATCTCAGAAGTTTTGTTGTCTTTCCTTCCAGACTTGACACACAAACCTTGTGACTGCTAGTTACAGCTGAGTGGTTCWTTTCATAAAGATGAAGTATTAGTAACAGATTCCATCAGTGAGGTAGTTCTCACAGAATTCACTGGATATTACTAAAACAGATAGCAGAGAGAATTTAACTGTACTTCTAACMAAGTGACAGTGTAAAGAAAATATTTATTGTGGCTGTGCATTTTTGTCCTAATTCTCTAATTTCCATTGTTGGTTCACTTTGTCTATTCATGTTTATTTTTACGTTGACACAACAGATATCTATGACACAGTGAAAGAATATTTATGGCAGGTGAATGACATTGTTGTCACAGTAAATACAGAATGAGGGTATTTTCTAAACTGGGTGTCTGTCTCCTATAAAAACCCAGGTACTTTGCACATTTTGTGTGTTTTGTATGTGTATTTAACACCAAGTGCTTGTAGCATTTCTCTGGACCTGCATCGTTCAGTCTACTTTTACTTTTATTCAATGTGGGCGTTTCAATCAGTATTTGTTGCTCTCATCAAAAGGAGCATCACTTTAATGACCACTAGGTGGCATATCTGTACATGTTAAGACTCTGTATCCATGTCCTTACAGAAGTCTTGAATTTTATTCTAAAACATTTGTATAAACATCTAAAATATTTGTATTTTGTTTTTGTCATGAATTATATTTTTGTGTATTTTTCTGTCTATGGGTATCACTTAATATATTTTGTTGTAGCTTTAAAAAAATAAACGTAAACCTTTAATGCACTAAATGTTTCTTTGATTTATTTTTTGTATTTGTTTAATTTATTTAACAAATTTGCTCATGTGTGAAAATATTTGTAATAAATAATTGTAATAATAATAATAATTGTTATGATCTGCTTAAATAAGTATACTTGGATCTTTGTTTTTAGGCTTTGTACAGCTAACTACATTAGAAATGCGATGATCTTTAACAATATGTTTGCATTTCTGTTAAATGTGAATTCTGCACAATTTCTTTGAATACATTTCACGGTGTCACGATTCCTGAGAAAACATCAACACAGCGAACCCACTAATCACGTGGTACCAGGCCAAAAATATTAACCAATCAGGTAATTTGTTGTAGCTGCTGCGTCGCGTCAGCCAATCAAAAAAAGACAAAGGGTTAACCCAGCAGCTCCAGTGACTAATGCCTGTCATATGACTCTGACACCCATGGAGACAATTACAAGGAACAAGAGTTTATCTCGGATTTGAAAACAAAAAGGAAATCTGTACCGAATTTATGTTGGTACAAAATGCCTCCGACTCTCTTCCAGAAACTTTTCAACAAGAGAAACGCGATATCGTCGCCGCCCCCGAGATGTAGCAAAGAGGACCCAGCTTTCAGGTAGCTCAGCTGTTTGTGTGTTTGTTACGTTTGGTGCGCTAACATTACTTTTGTGCTGTGAGTTTGCTGTGTGATTTGAAGGGTTGAATATGTTTAGTTGGGTGAAACGGACGAACAAAAACGGCATAATTTGAGTAATTGAAGCGAAGTCAAAGGAGGGAGACGTGCTTGTTGTGTTAGCCAACATGCTAACTAGCCCCTAGCGATCCTGCTGCACGCGTTTACCTCATTAGCGACCACGTTGTGCTCATTTACACAAATATTTATGCATTTATTAAGTGGAAAAACGCACTACAAACGCACAGTCTGAAGCGTGTTATCAGTTAATTGATAGGAAGTTGCAGAAGCAGCGCCCTGCTTCTCTTTCTCGTGTTTCCTTTTTGACTTCATCAATCTTGTCTTTGTGGCGGCGTTTAAGCTTTCGTGGCATTAAGAAAACAGCAGCCATGTCCCGCTTTACGCTTCGACTTTAACTAAGACGAATTAAGTACTAGAGGCTTTCCGCAGTCTTGCAGAGCGTATTGTGCGGAGGACACAGTGCTCTTCTTATGTGATGACTTTATTATAGAGACGGATCAATGCCAAACAGAGCAGGTCGTTTACACTGTTTTATATAATGGTTTAAAGCAACAACTGTTGTTCATTTTTGATCCAAATACAATCGTATGCTACTCCATGAAGTTGTGCCAACAAATATTGTATATCTTTCATTTGTRCTCTGTTAAATGCCGTCATATGGGTTTGTGTAAAAGGGACGTCTGTAGGCAAATGATAATGATTGTATTACTTTAACTTCAACAAAATAAAATCTATTTGCTTTCTTTAGTTTTACTTAGGCTTTATTTTATTATTGTTAAATTCATTAGATAAAATGCTGAATCAATTTTAAAATTCAAACCATTATGCCTATTTATAAAATGATGAATCAAATGCCCAGTTACTTATTTCCAAAAACCCTCCTAACCTAGTCTTAATGTAAGTCCCTAGGTGAGTATTTAATTATTTTAAATTTTACATAAACAACTTACCAGACTTATGGATAGATAAAGCACTTTAAACCATAGGTTCTCAGGGGTCCACGAGAGTTATCTTGGGGGTCCTCAAAAAAATGTTAGTTTTTTTCTTTTTAAAAACGCATGGAGAACAATGAACTAATAAAACAAATATAATAAACTTAATGTGAATATATACAGTATTCCCATGGCATTTAGGGGTTGAAATGACAATAAATTATATTTTAAAACAGCATGGGGTTTATGAGGGGGTTCCTGGAATCTTTTTTGCGCATGTAAGGGGTCCCCAGACCCAAATGGCTTGAGAACCCCTGCTTTAAATAACCACAGGACCAAACAGGACAGAACAACTTAACAGTACTCGCACGACATAAAAAAGAAAAGAACAGGCCTATAATAAAAGCAAATAAAAAATCTCACCGAGGGGAAGACATGGATTTTATGGAAGTATTGGGGGGGGGGTGTAATCAAATGCATAAAGATGGGTAATTCAGCAAGTTAGGAACAGGAATTCCCCACCATTGAGCTTACACACTTTTCATCACAATTAGAAGCAGCTGATCAAAATAATGGTTTTAATGTAAGAAATACACTTATATTTTTGTTTTCTTCATAACTAACAATTAGCATAACTAACAATTAGAAGACATCACTCACATGTGTACAGTGATGTGGTGAATCCCATGCAGGTGCAGATTATTAGCAAACACAAAAGGTTTAGTATCTCAAAGCTTTATGCTAAGCTGTTTAAGCACTTATTGAGGTTGTGTTCAACTTGGCAGGGGGATGTGTCATTGAGCTGATTAGCTTGATATTCAATACTCCCTGAGTTGATTTGCAGACTGTTTGCACATTGGTATGTTCATGTTCACATTCTCAATCAGGGTCAGGCATTACCAAGGAAAAAGGGCTTTGTTAGTTGTAAATACCTCAGAACATGTATCGCTCACCATTTTGCTTTTTCTGATATATTTACCGTCAGACCTCCAAGCGCACCTTTTTGAGGAGCTGCTTGCACTTTGGCTCATGCCTGTGCCAGGGTACATTTTTGATGCTATAAAGGTGCCCTATATCACTGTTATAAATGCTGCATGTGTGGGCTGAGGTGGGTGGGGGGTGTGGGGGGTGGTGGAGGCGGCTGGCATCAGTCCTAGAGCAAACAGACAGTCAGCAGGCGTTTCTGTTAACTCAGAGGTCAGCTGTGCTCTTCATACCTCTGGCATAAGCTCTTCATTCATCAAGCATGAAACGACTCTGAAGGGGGGAAATCTGTGAGGAGGCATGCATGGAGGGGACACAGACAACACATTCTATTTTAATAGAGACCTTTTTAGAAACGGCCAATTGAAGACATCCAGCAATTTGTCCTGGAAATGATCTTCTTTCCAAATATATACAAAAAAATAACTTCTCAACTACTAACAATTACAGTTTCCATGAAAGCATTTAAGCCAAGAAATTTAAATTTAAAAATCAAAACAAACAAAAACATATATTGTTTTGCAAACCTATTGCCTCGCGTAATGCTCCACCCACTCAAAACACCATCAGATCACATTACGGTGGCGTCCAGAATACCACAGAGGGCAGAAGGTTGGCTGACCCTTGAAGGAAAGCCTAAAAAGCTTCTCCTCTTTCCCTGTTTGCTGTGCCTGACCACGGACAGCATACTGTACATTACACATAGAGCCCCTGGCTCTGTCAGTAGCTTCCTCCTCTCTGCCACACTCAGATGGATTTATCTGATCAGTAAACCTGCTGAGAAAACCAAACTAGACACCTTTTTAATATGAAAAAGAGGTGCACAGGAAGGATGTTTTTGGACTGTGTTAAACTGCTTGAATGTATGTTGGGTGTAATAATTCTATGAGCTACTCCAGGTGAAACAGTTCTGGTCTACTTTTCAGTTTTTGGTAGTAAATGGCCACAAGTGTTTATTAAAGCCGTAAATATAAAAAATGTTCCATTGTAAACTATTAAGTTGCATTTAACATGTTTACCTACACACAACTTTGCAACAATTTCAGCCAGATTGGATTTATTTATAGTGATCTATTTTTTTTTATAGTTCAGGAGAAGGGGTATCTTGGGTTCCACACTGGCATGGCATCCTTCCTCCACTGCATAGTTTCATAACGTGGTGTGTCATGTGAGGCTTCATCAATCTCAGGCTGTCATGTTTGTGGAATGATCACATGGGCCAGTCACTGGCACGGAGCCATAAAGTGGATTGGGTGTGTTGATAATTTGACACAATTTAACTGGGTTGCCAACTACTTTTTGAAACAAATACATTTTTAATGTAACACACTTTGTCTTACTTTACCTTTTCTTAAGTGTTTTGTCAGTGAGCCTGTCAGACCTGTATTCATACAAAGCTATCTTATGCATTTCCTTGTATTTGCATAATGTATAACAGGTTATAGATAATTTCCTCCTGATGGTAGCTTTTTATAGGCACAGTGGTGTTCCCATATTTGACGTCATTCTAAACAGGTTTTTATTACAAATTGTACGTGGGGCTAGTCCAGTTGTATTTTTTTTTTATTTACTACATATTAAATTCAGAGTAATGAGCAATGCCAACAACATCTCATGCTCTCTTGGCCCCACCTTTGTGTCCGTAAACTCAGTCCAGAAAGTGTTACTAAATGAACGTGTCATTTAGTAATTTTTAAAAAGGTACAAACAACCAATTAAAACTTTTCCATGCATGCACATTTATTTTTTTGTTGTAGTTTCCAAATACAGTAGCCTGAATACAAAAATATCTATTTTGCCATGTGAAACTTCTGAACACAATTTGGATAACATTGAAAAACCTAAATATTTGTTACTAATGTGTGTCTTAGCAGCCTGTTTGGGTCATAAATCCATTGTAGATTATAGCTTTTAATTTCATGTGTGCATCTTTTTGTGAGAATGCTGCAGGGCTGCCAAGGTTCTGTAAAGACAGCAGCTGCCATCAGGTTCCCATCAGGACTATTTTTAATGGCTTCTACGAGCCACAGGGGTCACAGTAAAGATGTAGATTAACAAAAAAATAATGCCCACAATCACACACTGTTGCACAGTTAACTTTAGGTCAAAATGGTTCAACAATTGGTTCAACTCAGCTTTGTTCATATGATTCTTTGAGACACAGTCATGCACTTATCTGTCAACACTCCTATCATTCTGTCTTTGTCACAAGTTCAGAAGTTGTTGCACAGGATTTAGCAAGATATGCATTTACTCTCTGGATTAGAAATAACATTACCTGTAGAGTCAGAATTTAAAACTTAGATAAATAATCTTCCAGCTGCTTTAAGCTTACAAACTTTGATATTGTACACATTTGGTTCTATTATTGCAATACAGTTTGTTCTGGTGGTTATAACCTCTGTTATTTGCTCCCCAATTCCAAACTACATTAATCTGTCAGCTAGTCAAAGTAGGATGTGAAGTAGATTAGAGGACAGTAACCTCTTGAACCAATTTATTTCCTCTTTATCATATGATTGTAGGAATGCAGAAGTCCTTAATTTCACACAGTGTGCAAAAAGTCATGTTAGGTAAACTCAAGATAAACAGGTTTGGTGAAAGTTATAAATAGTTTTAACTTGATAAAAAGCCGAATGTAAGGATGTGATATACAGTAATCTTTAGATTGCCACTTTATTGCCACTGTCTCACCTTTATTTTACCAGTTGGCCTAAAAAGTCAAATACAAAATTTAATACTTTTTAGATTTTTGTTTCAGATTATTTTTTTCAATCTAAGCTATAGTCTACAGACAGTAAAAAGGCATAAAAATACTTATCAACACAGGATTACATTTTGCTTCAAAATAACTATCAAATCCATACATAAATTATCTTCTGCTTTATCCGGTCGGGTCGCGGGGGCAGCAGCTTGAGCAGGGAATCCCAGACATGATTAATTTGTTCACTTTTTTAAGGCAGCAGATTTATCTAGTTTAGAATGTGTGTAAGCTGTATTTGTACA